CAAATCATGAGTGAACTCCCATTCACAATTGCTACAAAGAGAATAAAATAGCTAGGAATACAACTTTCAAGGGATGTGATGGACCTATTCAAGCAGAACTACAAACTCGTGCTCAAGGAAATAAGACAGGACACAAACAAATGGAAAAACATTCCATGCTCATGGATAGGAAGAATCAGTATCATGAAAATGGCCATACTGCCCAAAGCAATTTATAGATTCAATGCTATCCCCATGAAGCTACCATTGACTTTCTTCACAGAATTACAAAAAACTACTTTAAATTTCATATGGAACCGAAAAAGAGCCCACATAGCCAAGACAATCCTAAGCAAAAAGAACAAAGTTGGAGGCATCATGCTACCTGACTGCAAACTATACTGCAAGCCTACAGTAACCAACACAGCATGGTACTGGTACCAAAACAGATATATAGAACAACAGAACAGAACAGAAGCTTCAGAAATAACACCACACATCTTCAACCATCTGATCTTTGACAAACCTGACAAAAACAAGCAATGGGGAAAGGATTCCCTATTTAATAAATTGTGCTGGGAAAACTGGCTAGCCATATGCAGAAAATTGAAACTGGACTTTTTCCTTACACCTTATACAAAAATTAACTAAAGATGGATTAAAGAATTAAATGTAAGACATAAAACCATAAAAACCCTAGGAGAAAACCTAGGTAATACCATTCAGGACATAGGCAGGGGCAAAGACTTCATGACTAAAACACCAAAAGCAATGGCAACAAAAGCCAACATTGACAAATGGGATCTAATTAAAGAGCAAAAGAAGCTATCATCAGAGTGATGATAGCACATTCACAGCAAAAGAAGCTATCATCAGAGTGATGATAGCACTTTCACAGCAAAAGAAGCTGTCATCAGAGTGAGCAGGCAACCCACAGAATGGAATAAACTGTTTGCAATCTATTTATTTGACAAAGGGCTAATATCCAGAATCTACAAAGAACTTAAACAAATTTATAAGGAAAATAATCCCATCAAAAAGTGGGTGAAGGATATGAACAGACACTTCTCAAAATAAGAATTTTATGCAGCCAACAAACATATAAAAAGAAGCTCATTATCATTGGTCATTAGAGAAATGTAAATCAAAACCACAATGAGATATCACCTCATGCCAGTTAGAATGGCAATCATTAAAAAGTCAGGAAACAACAGATGCTGGAGAGGATATGGAGAATTAGGAATGCTTTTACACTGCTGGTGGGAGTGTAAATTAGTTCATCCACTGTGGAAAACAGCGTGGTGATTCTTCAAGGATGTAGAACCAGAAATACCATTTGACCCAGCAATCCCATTGCTGGATTTATACCCAAAGGATTATAAATCATTCTATTATAAAGATACATGCACATGTATGTTTACTGCAGCACTGTTTATAATAGCAAAGACTTGGAACCAACCCAAATGCCCATCAATGATAGACCAGATAAAGAAAATGTTGCACATATACACCATGGAATACTGTACAGCCATAAAAAATTATGAGTTCATGTCCTTTGCAGGGACATGGATGAAGCTGGAAACTATCATACTCAACAAACTAACACAGGAGCAGAAAACCAAACACCACATGTTCTCACTCATAAGTGGGTGTTGAACAATGCAAACACATGGATATAGGGATGGAAACATGACACACTGGGGTCTGTTGGGGGTTGGGGGACTAGGGTAGGGATAGCATTAGGAGAAATACCTAATGTAGATGATGGGGTGATGGGTGCAGCAAACCACTATGGCATGTGTATGGCTATGTAACAAATCTGCACGTTCTGCACGTGTACCCCAGAACTTAAAGTATAATTTAAGAAAAGATGAGAGGGGTGGATCATGAGGTCAGGAGATCAAGACCATCCTGGCTAACACGGTGAAACTCCGTCTCTACTAAAAAACTCAAAAAATTAGCTGGGCATGGTGGCAGGCTCCTGTATTCCCAGCTACTCGGGAGTCTGAGGCAGGAGAATGGCGTGAACCCGGGAGGCAGAGCTTGCAGTGATCCGAGATCACACCACTGCACTCCAGCCTGGGCAACAGAGCAAGACCCTATCTCAAAATAAAAAAAGAAGAAAAAATATTACCCAATCTGTTTATAGCTTTAACTTATAAAATGTCTTATTTTTGAAAACATGGTGAATATGGAAATGTAGAAAGAAAGAAATCACACATGGTTTTACCACTCAGTAATCATCATGGTTAATATGCTGAAGTATGTTTATTGAGGTGTTTTTTCATAAAGTGGTTTAGTGGGGATACTTAAAAGTTGCTAGATGGGGGTTATCTGTGAATTTTCCCTTCAGTGGCATTTGAGAAAAGTGCTGCTGACATTCCATTTACTCATTTTCATTTCTTCCATCTCCTTCTTTCTTATCACTATCTCTTGAAAAATTGAATTCTTTTCTTTATTATTTTTTTTCTCTTTGCCTTTAAGGGATGTTACAGTCTTGCCAGTACACTGCAATGTAGCAGTCTCTCATTTTGAGGTATCACCCAGAGCTCCTTGTCTCAGGACTAAGAAAATTAAGAAGCATGGGCACAAACGGTGAGGTTGGAGCAAAAGTTTAATAAGCAAAAGAAAAAAGCTCTCTGCCACTGAGAGGAGGCCCAGAAGAGAGCTGCCATTTTTACAGTTGAATGCAAAGGCTTTTATAAGAAACTGATGATAGCTGGGCATTTCATCTGCATAGAGCATGAATTTCTACAGCTCCACCCTGTCCTCCTAGTGTACATGTGGGCCCTTAGCTTGAGGTACTCCAAATTGCTTTGTTTCCCTTACTGTGTATGTGTCAGGGGGCAGAATTTCCCATTGCTGAGCATGTCTGGGCAAGTCACCTGTGTAGCCTTTCTTATCTGTGTGGCTGTGGCCATGTCTTAGGCAAGCCGTCCTGTGCAAGTTCCCTTATATGTGCCTTCAGGGTGTTCTTTTGTTTGAAAGAATTCAACCAAGGACCCACTTTAACTGCCTCCCTGACCAGTTTCACCTTTCTCTTATTTCCTTCCTCAGGAGTGGAGACCCTAACTGCTGTTAGAGGGAATGGGGTGATGATTCTTCTAGCTACTTCCTGCTGGAAAGGGGCACTGTGTGGGGAACAGTGGTTAGGGTTTCTCCTGGACTGGTCTAAGGATTCCTGGAAGAAAGGCACATCCATGTATTGTTTCATTTGCGTTACCATTTGGAGTTTGATAGTCTTTAGGTAAGAAGAAACAATTTGGGTTAGTAGAGGAAACAAGCAGGGGATAAGAACAGCTTAAAAATCCCAAGGCTGCTGACATGTACGGATAACTGGTGGCCACAGTTATTCCCGCTAAGATTTGGGTGCAAGGGGCTTGTCTTTAGTTAACTTCCTTGGTTTTATTTTCCAAAAGAAACCTCTGGGTTATGGGCACCATATTTACTCCCATTACCTGACAGGATTTATAGGATAATTGCCAAGAACTAGAATATTGATTCAGATTTGTACATCACCCATCCCTTTTTGTACTTTCTGAGCTGCAGCCAGAGATTGCTGGTTGGCTTATAGGAATAAGCAGGATTAGTTTAAAATGTAGGGAAGAACTTAAAAACAACCAATGAGATTAAAATTAATGACAAGCATATGATATGTTTTGAAACATAATTTTTCTCTCTCTACTCTTTATTTTTGTTAAAAAACAAATCATGATAGGACTGAGTTTTTGGAAAATCAACTTTAGTTTTATACTTGGCCTGATTATTTGTACAAAGTGCAGCAAGAATAATTATTTTTACGTAGGTTTTTAAATTGGCTTTGATGAAACTGTTCCACAGGAATTTCAGATAGAGCTTTTTAAAGTTGAGCCCAGCCATGGGTTTGTACCCTCAAATACCTATGAGTTGGGTAAATTCCTCTCTCCTTGAGATCCCAAGAACATGGGGTTCCTGGGCCTATAGAAAGTGATATTCTTTACTCGCCACAGGTTAGGAACTCTGTTCGGGGGCTGTGTAGACAAAGTATGAAGCAGTTTTCCCAAGGGGCTTTTATTGGCTCTGCAAGTCAAGCTTGATTCCTTAAAGGGAAGCACAGCCTTCCGGTTAAAACCTTGACAAGACAACCAGTTTCTCCAATTGTGTCCTCTTGTAAAAGAAAATTATTCTCATTGTGCTGATGCAAAGAATTATATTGTCATAAGTTAAGAATACTCACAAATAGTTTCCAAGTTCTAGAGGAACCAGACAGAGAGAAACAAATATGCTCTGAATTCTGTTTACAGTAATATAATTACATAATTATTAAAGGCTGCAAATAGCTTAAAATAAGTTTCCTTGACTCTGAAAAACAAAACAAGGATCAGCAACATTTTAAGCAAAAAGGTTAAAAAGTCCATTTTGTTAACTCTTTTTTTGCTTGATATTCATGAATATTTTAGCTCTTCATGAGTCCTGTACATTTTTCCTTTATTCTAATGTCATAATCTCCAAAGTTATCAGAAACTTGCATTTGAGAGCATGTGTCAAAGTCCTATAGCTGATAATAAACGGTCCTTTAAAGAGGATTAAAACAAGACGATTGTGAATGGTGAAATGTCCAAGGTAGTTAGTCAAGAACATGACTGACAAATTTTATTCTTTCTGTGGTTTACAATAACTTAACATAATAACCTTAATTATGATTTCTAGCATATACTCAGACATTAGAATTTTAGAAAACCCATACAATTTTGGAACATATATGATTATTATTCACTAAAATACAACTGAAGATCATTAAACACCATTTGGCCAATCCCATGTACCTAAACATGTTAAATAATCCTGTTTACCTCTCTACTGGATGCTTCAGGGGCCTTCTGTAGCATCCAAAAGCTAGGGGTCAAGAGAGACAATTTTGGAATTGAAGTTTGATTTTGGGAAGTAAATGTTAGAGGTTTAAAACACTTAATATTACAAAATATGATTCCAGATTACCATAAGTTGTTTGTTTTGCCAAAATTAGGACTCAGAAACTTAAAGACAAGGCAAAAACCTTTACTCATTAAGAGGGAAGATTTAGCTTTCCAAACAGTTTGTCTCCTGTCTTCTCACTCTTCTCCTTGGCAGTTTATCTGCAAGGCAAATTAAAAATTTTCATTATCTTTCACTATTACATGAAAATCTTGTACAAGGCCGAGAAAGCCAAATTTTACCCTTACATTGGTTTTAAAACAATCCTTTATCCCTAGGCAAGATTTACATTTCTATGTCTTTTTACAGTCTTTTACCACAAACACATTTTACTGTTCTTACATACCTTTCATGTAAATCTAATTTCAGTAGTCTCATTTACATGTTACAATGGTAACTCTTGGCAATTTTTAACTTTAATGTAAAACTGGTACATTGTCTTAATTATGTACTAGGCACAGATAACATCTGACTTTTTCCAGCATAGTTAAGTGTGGGGTTAATTTTGGATGTACCCAGGCCTTACCAGGTTGTAAAGGAGGCAGTTTACAACCTTGAAACATTTAGCAAACCTAGTATCTGAGTTACATGATTTAGGCCACCTATTTACATTTTGACATCTGCATTTTACCAATTATTTTTTTAAACTATTTTTATTTCTTAAAGATTAAAGTTGTATGAACTAAAAGGCATTACAGCTTTTATATTTCCTTTAAAAATTTGATTTAAGCACTTATTTTTCTTTAAGTCAATCAGAGCTCTTTTTATAGGCATTGCACACAACACATATATAACTACAAAAGCGAACAGAAGCAGATTCAGTATTTATTAGATATTTTTGTTCATCAATCTCCTAATTGAATTATTGGCCTCTGGGTGGTGCTGTTTAAGAGAAGGGCTAGGAAAGCATACAGTTTCTAGGTATTGCTGGAGGACAAAAACAGATTTTGAGAGGGACCTACCTGCCTCTAATTCCTGGGGTTTCATGAGGAAAATGGAAGTTTCTCTCAAAATGGAATCTGTGGCATGTTTTCGTTTTTTCCCAAGGAGTCCCAGGCCATCAGAAATTATCTTAGGGCCTCTCATGCATGCATTTAGAGTGGCAAGACAAAGTGGAGAAAAAGAATTCAGTTGACTGAGAAAAAAACCTTTTCCAGAAAAACAAGATCCAAGAAGAGGAAACCATAAAGGCCTTGTACATATACCTGTAGCTTGGATATCCAGTTTTAATTAAGCTTAGCACTCTTTAAGAAAATCCTTTTAAATCTCATGTTACCCGACTTTAGCCACATCAAGCAATTACCATTTCTGGTTTTTGAACTTTACCAAAAGTAACCTCAAGGGTGAAATCAAGAAGCCTCAATTAAGGTTATGATTTAACCATGAGTGTACGAGGTAGTTTCAAAGGGGTGGTAAGCAGCTTTTGAAATCGCCATTGCAAAATTGTAACTGAGACAGTAAAAGAAATCTGACCTAACCAACTCCATCTTGCTTCTAGCCTCCAAGCTGTCCTTGTTCATTTCTGGTCATAGGCTTAACCAACTCTGGGAGGAACTTATAGTTTATAGTCCAAAACAAAAACGGTAATAGCCCTTTCCCAAAACAAACCTCCTTCTTGCCTGGGAGACTAGAATGCCTTTGTAGGACCAAGAAATCAGCCACAAGATTAGAAACTGTGTGTTAGGAGTCACACTGCTAGAGGCCACAAGATTCTGACCCTCTCTAAACTGCTCCTAAGACCAGCATTTCAGATATTCTGCAGACCCTGCACTTGACAGATCAGCTGGCACCACTCAGATTGATAAACTGGCTCATCTGATCTTGTGACCCCAAACCACGAACTGACTAAGCACAAGAAGGTAGCTTCAACTCCCTATGATTTTATCTCTGAATTGACCTATCAGCACTCCCAGCTCACTGGCCTCCCCCCATCAACCAGCCATCCTCAAAAACTCTGCTCCACAAATTATCCGGGAGACAGACCCAAGCAATAACAGAACTCCACCTCCTGCACAGCCAGTCCCACATGAATCACCCCTTCTCCATTCCCCATCCTGATAAATCAGCTCTGTCTAGGCAGCAGGCAGGGTGAACCCATTGTGTGGTTACACTTTTACAAAATCTAGAACCTTTAAAGGAAACTCAGAGAAGGAAGATTTAAGAAAGGAGCTAGAAGTTGTTCATGGAGGGGAAGAGAATCAGCAAATGGCAAAAGTCACACAGCTATTAACTTGCAAGTATTAATTCCCCAAGCCAGGATTGAACCTGGGTCACCTTTGTAAAATGGCAGAGTCTAAAACAAAGTACTGCCATGTGGTTACAGGTCAAAATGTAAAACAAGATGGAGTCCTGCAGCAAAGCTTGTAACTGACCAGTTTATCAGGCTAGATTGAACTGTAAGTTTATGGAGACCCAAGCCATCATTCCATTCTAAGATATCCCTCCTCTACCTTTTCCCTCAATTGAATCAGGAGACAGGGAGGTGTGTTTCACTAAATACTCTCTCAGTCTTCCCAAAAAGGCCAAGGGATTTTCAGGTAGTTTTTGATCACGGAAAGTTTGGAGTAATTAAGAGGCTTGGCTCTGGTCCTCCATAAGCCCTCTAATATGCACATTTGAAAATGTTTTAATTTGCACTCATCTAAGGTATCACTGGGGTTTCAATCAGGTTGTTTAAGAGACACTGCCTCTCTTCCTACTGGGAATGGGGATTCTGCCTATTTCTCACCTTCTTTCCTTTTTTGACTGGCTTTCTTTTTTGACTAGCTATAGGAGACATGCTGTTTGTCTCTGAATTTCTCTGCTACCTGTAGGGCTGCCTATTTCTCAGCAGCAGTTAGGGTTTGATTTAAGAGTAGCATCACATCCTTCCAGGAGAGTTTAAATCCTGGAAGACCTCTATATGTGAGTGATGTTGGAGCTTTCCCAGAGTGAACTTTAGGGTCTAAGGGTTAAAGAAGATCCAGGCTGCACTCAAGGGGAGTGCAGGCTTGAAGATGGGTTGTTACCTATCTAGGAAAAAGGGGAGAAGAAGTCTCCTTCCTCCTTTCAGAGTGACCCAGAGTGGAGAGAAAGACAGAAAGGACATCCCCATTCTCCTCTTCCCTCCCGTCTCCTCTGGGTCCTGGAAACCAACATATGTGCCACCCATGGATGCAAACATGACCTTCACCCATGGATCTGGAGGAGCTAGTCAGCAGGAGTAGCCATGTTTGCCTGTGTGAGGCCCTAGCTCTCTGCCCTGCTGATTTCCTAGATCCAGTTGGCCCATAAGGCTCTGAGGGTACCCCAGGGGCTCAGAAGAGACTGTATGGTAGTTGAATTTGGGCAAGGCCCTTTAATGGGAGGAGTGTCTTAAATCTATCCCTTACTTCCTCTTACTACCACCCAGGCAAAGTTATGAATTCCTAGAGAATGGGACCAATTGACTTCTGAACATAAGATTCCTTTCTCATTTAGATGCCAATATAGCTGGATACAGAACAGATGCCTCAAAAGAACATAAGAATTGACTGGCCATCCTGCCTCTGATGATGATAGCACTTAGGCTAAAATCTGTCTTGCCAAGGTAGCTTCCTCCCAGCTGCTGAAATGGAAGTTTTTCTGATTACAAACAGGCCATGGGGACTGATTACTGGGAGAAGGATGTAAGAGGGAAAGCAATCAGGGAACTAGAGTTTTGGGGCAAAGGGCTGACAAGGCTCCCCATAGAGAAAAATCCCATCCCGCTAGGTGGCACTGTAGGGTTTGAAATGTTAGGAAAAAAACTGGCTTTCCAAGGAGAGGTTAGAAAGAGAGGTTTTGGATTTAATAGACTGTCCCCATAATATGCTTCCTAGCAAGAAAAACTTAATTTGTTTTATAAAGGAACTGCTTAAACTCACTGGGCAGTTCTGAGCTCTTGCACTGAGAAGAAAACAACCCAAATGGAAACGGTATTCACTCAGGGTAAAATATCCTCCCATACAGTGCCATGAATGCCATGAATTATTAGGGGACAAAAAAGCCCTTAATAGGTGAAAGTTTAGACTGAAATATTGAAATTCCCCCATCTCAAGGAAATCACAGAAGCAGCAATTTTTTTGAGTTACATTCCTGGTTACTAAGGCACTTGCTAACTTTATCCAACAAGATTATCTCCCCAGGCTTTAAATAGTCCCTTAATATAGCATGCAAAGAAGGGATAGCAGATATGATAGCTGTGAAAAGAAAGGAAGGAAATGTGATTGTCTGGAAGTTCTTGTGCCAATACTCTGATGGGCTGTTGGGGGGCAGAATTAATCCAAGGGCCTTCAGGTAACACTGAGGTGTAGCCTCTATCAGATGTCTTCAGTTGTCCCAGAGTCTCCTTCTGTTACCCGGGGGTCTTTCTTCTTAGAGCTCCCAAGATGGTGGTGGGTGGCTCCCAAAATGAGAGCAAGCATTTTGTTCTCTGACCTGGGGTTCTTGGCCTCACAGATTCCAAGTAATGGAACCTTGGGCCATGCAGTGAGTGTTACAGCTCTATTAGAAGCCATGAGTCATGGAAGAGAACTGTGGAACCCAGCGACTACTGTTCAGCTCAATTAGGACAAACCCGGGCACTTAGCTGTGCAGGAACAATGGCAAGCCTCTAGCCTGATTGGGAGTGGCAATGGGCACCTCACTGAATCAGAAGCTCAGCAGACAACCTGCTGGATCTGGAGGGGTGGAAGTCAGCAGCAGGCCTGCGACAACGAGCAACAGCTCAGCTTGAGCTGAGACCAGAAGAATGTGCAGTTGCAAGATTTAATAGAATGAAAGAGCTCCCATACAACAGGAGGGGACCCAAAGGGTTGCCCGATCGGGTTCGAATGCCTGGGTTTATATCCCGATCATTCTCCCTCCCCCTGTGTTCTCAGGCAATAGATGATTTTGTTACCGGGGGTCCTTGCTCACAGAGCTCCCAAGATGGTGGCAAGCCATTTCCAAGATGGTGGCAAGCCTCGTGTTCTCTGACCTGGGGTTCTTGGCCTCACAGATTCCAAGGAATGGAATCTTGGGCCACGCGGTGAGTGTTATAGCTCTGTTACAAGATGTGCATCACAGAAGAGAACCGTGGAACCCAGTGACTAGTGTTCAGCTTGATTAGGACGAACCCGGGCACTTAGCCATGCAGGAACAATGGCAAGCCTTTAGCCCA